TTGATATGCAATGTCGAGCGTCCGTGGTTTTGTCTTCTTTGGCAGGACAATGCGGGAGCGTGAGACGGAAGAGAAGAGATCAGACGGGGACGGGGATGAGGAGGGGGAGAGGGGCACGGGAGGGAGAGGGAGGATCAGGAAGAGAGGATGCGAAGGAGGTGGCGGTAGTGCTATCGGGGGCGGGGGTGCGGATAAGGATGGTGGTTGCAGTAGGCGGGGTGATGGTGTCGTCGGGTTGCGGTGGCGATGGCGGCGGGCGTGGCGGCGGCGACGGGCGCTCGGAATGCGATGGTGGTGGGTGTGGGGGACCACGTCGCTGGACCGTCGTGGTAGTGGTGGGAACGGGGATGGTGGTGACGCCAGCGGTGGGACTGCTGGTGGTGGTGGGTGGCGCCGGTCGTGGTGGTGGAAGCGGTGGTGGCGCTGGGGGTGGGGAGCGTCGCGGTGGTGGTGGCGGCGGCGGCGGCGGCGGTGGCGGTAGCAACGTTGGCGGGAGCGTTGGTTGGCGGTGGAGGCGGTGGGCGTGGAAGTAGTGGTGTAGGTTATCTCTGGCGGGGCAGCCCCAGCGAGCGCCGGCAGGCGCCCGTTGGCAATTGTAAACGCCCGCGCGCGCTCGCCGCCGAGCGAAGTGCGGGGAGCCGAGCGCGCGCGCGGGCGCTTGCGTCGCGCCCGTCCCCCCCTTTATTCCTCCTCCCCGTCCCTCCCCCGCCCCTGTGTCGTTCGTCTGTAATCCGTCGTTGGTGGTCGCCGTGTCGTCTCGTTTCTCTGCTCTCTGCCAGTGGGCTCCTCTTGCTTCGGTACAAAACTACAGTGTGCCCGCAGGCGCCTACGTGCGCTCGCAGCCGCCGTCGTGGGCCCAAGGTGCGTTCGAGGGCACACGAATTGGCGGGCGCAGAATTGGGCGCGCGCGCGATCGTTTTTCACATTGGCCGGCGTCGCAGGCGATGGGCCCCAGGGCGCGCCCTCGGCGCCCGCTTGCCCTTCGCCATGCTCTGCAGGCAGACCAGAGGCCGTTCATGGCCGCGGGGGGGGGGGGGCGCGTGAACAGCGCGGTGTGTCGCGCGTTCTGCTTGTCAGTGCCGCCGCGATGCACGCTGGAATTTTGCGCCTTCGCGCGGCGCGGCAGGTGCGCGAAGTCGCCGGCAGATCGCGACACAGGCGGTGCGATTTTGACGCCCACTGGTAGAAACGGAAGCGATGCTTGCCGAGCGGGCCGCGCGTCTTTAGCGCCGCGGGTCTCGACGCGAGCCGGCTCGCCAAGCCCGCGCGCTTTAGAGTCCCAAGGAGAAGAAGCACCGCCAATCGTTGAGGGACGTTCCTTGTCATCGTCCCCAACTGACAGGGACGGGGCGTTCGGGGCCGCATTCGAGCCAAGTCGGGCTCCCACGTGAAGTCCGCAGAGCGCACAGTGCGGCCTCCCACCCCCATTGATCCAGGGCTTCCCCGTCTTATCACGAGTGCAACTCTTACGCAACCCGCGAGGTTGTACAATGTCCAATTGAGGCCGAGGTACCGCGCCACCACCGCGGCAGCGGATGACACTGCACGCTGGCGCATAAACGTTATCAGTGGAATGCGCGTGTTTTCCTCCCCTTTCTCCCCCCCTTCCACCTCCTCACCACCCCTCCTGATCCCCCGTCTCCCGAGCCGCCCCCACTTTCTCCCCCCAAGCGTGTTTCTCCGGGATTTCCACGGCGCAGTCAAATACGTCGGCCAGACGTCGGCCCAACGTTTGGCCGCCCAGGCGCGCCCGCGTGGCAGGGCGTGGCAGCGTTTCGCCGCGGGCGTCTTCGATGGCCAGAAACACGCCTGGTTGCCGAGCATCAACCGAAGCACGCATAAACATTCTGAGAAAACGTCGCAACGCGGTGTTCGCCAGCGGCGCGGGGGCGGCGACCCCGCGGCTCCGCGCCGCTGGCATTCGCGGCCGCGCGGGAGGCAGCAGCGGAGGCCCTGCTGCAAAAACGCGGCCCAATGCGCACACGAACACGGGGCGCTGGGCATCAGCGCGCGCGCGCAGCAAGCGCAACGCCCGCGCGAAGTAAGCGCGCGTTCAGACGAGACGAACGCGCGCCGTTGACGCGAACGGCATCCTGGCGCGCAGCGCGGGCAATCCGGGCGCGCGCGTCGATGGCGGCGGCGTTGGATTGTAATGTGCGCCAAATGCCGTTCCGCAGCTATAGCAATCGCTGCGCGACGCGGTCTGGGTTGCTGTGAACATGCTCGTTGCCCGTCTGGCTGAGGTCGAGAAGGGGCCGGGGGCTGCCGAGGCGTTTGTTGGCCCAGCTTGTGGAGAGGGCGGCAGCGCCTTCGAGGATGAGCGCGCTGACCTGAGGCAGTCGCGACGAGCGGCCAAGCCCGCGCACTCCCAGGTTCGCGCGGTCATCGCTCGCATTGAGACAACTGAGAGGAATGCCTGCGCGCGTCGTGACGCGGTGGCTATGCAGCGCCGACAGTCGGCAGAGCTGCAGGCAGCGGCTGTCTGCGCTGAGGATGGCGT